AGAAATATAAACGAGGAGGAGGTCTCTTCCGTATAACAAAGAGGAGGGAGAACCCAACCGATATATTTATTTATAAAAAGAACCGAAGAAAGTGGCCCCAAAAAAAAACCAATTTTTATTATTTTTTTTCACTGGGGGGGGGGAAATTTGGGAATTTGTTTTTGGAGGGGAATTTCCCCAAAAGGGTCAGAAACAAGGATTGTCAGAAAGGAAAATGAAGTGAAGAAGGGAAAAGGGTTGTACGAGGAAAGAAAAACGTTCTAAAAAAGCGGGGTAGCCTTTTTTCAAAATCGCGTGGTACGCTGTGCACAATGCCCCGTCCATTTTGCGTCGTAGCTGGGGCCCGGGGCATGGTACATGCGCCTTTATGTCGTTCCTTGGCTGGGATGGCGTACGTTGGCTCCGGCGGTTTTATTGGTACTGGTTGAAGTTGTACGGCAGGTTCGATGTGACCCTCGCCTAGAGGCAGCGCCAACTTGCTTCGATCTGCCCCGATAATGGAATCATCGGCGCCGCCCCTGGGCCGCTTGCCGTACCTCGTACGGCTCCGTGCGGCATTGGCGTTTGCCTGGAGCATTGCCGACAGCCATCACATTGGCGACGGAAAACGAAAGGGGGGCCCGGGCCGTCACCGCCGCTGCCGGCCAACAGGAGGGCCCGGCGATACGTGATTGTACGGGCATTGCTGCCGGCGGTGCAGAGCCAGGCGCGTGCCAAAGCTGTCCGGCCGGCCCGAGCGGATGGTACGGCACACCCGCGTGGCTATTGTTACTGTTGTACGGCGCCTGCACGTAATTCGTTGCGGAGCTGGGGCGCCCTCCCCGTCCCCGTAAGAGGGGGCGGCGGCGCCGCCGCCGCCGCCGCCGCCACTGCTAGGGCCCAACCCTGGACTCCCTGCCCAATGTTGTTGTTGCTGCTGCTGCTGTTGCTGCTGCTGTTGCTGCTGCTGGTGTTGGTTCCCTCGAGAACTTTGGTGCGGGACTTGCGGCGGGCTTCCACGCGATCCAGATCCAGACCCGGATCCAGATCCAGAATCCGCCATAGGGCTGTCGTCGGGCCGCGGCTGGATCGGGTTGCGGGATCCGCCCGATACGGCGATTGCGGATTGCAGCGCTGCCTTGGCCGCGTTGGGCGTTTGTGATCCCGACAGTACCGCCGTCTCCAGCTGTATGAGCTTGTTACGAAGCGTTTCAATCTCGTCCAGCACCTGCGCATGGCCGTGAGTGCTGTTGCGTTGTGTTGTGTTGTGTTGTGTTGTGTTGTGTTGTGTTGTGTTGTGTTGTGTTGTGTTGTGTTGTGTTGTGTTGTGTTGTGTTGTGTTGTGTTGTGTTGTGTTGTGTTATGTTGTGCTGTGTTGTGCTGTGTTGTGCTGTGTTGTGCTGTGCTCTCTGTTAGTGTTTTCCTTAAGATTAGTTAATTGCTTCCACTCAAACACGTCATTCCTTCATTATTGCTTCCCTTAGCTCGGAAAGCAGCGCAAGCAGTGCGTACCACATGTCGTGTGTGACATTTCACACTCCAATAATGATGATGATGATAATAATATAATAATATAACAACAAATAGTAAATAATTTGATTATAATGTGTCATTACATGATTTATTATTTAAACCTTATTAACATATTACATTATTTCATTAAAGCCTCAACAAGTACGGCATGTTTCGTACGGAGGACGTATTGGACTCTTACCGGCCGGACGAACATACGCCCAATACGAATTTAAGCAAAGACACACCGACAACAAGGCACCAACATCCACCAACGATAAGGCCCCCCACCAGGCAGGCACTCTCATACCTCTCCATGCTCTTGGGAAAGAAGTTGTCTCCCGGCGCGCAGCCGATCGTTCTCTTTGGCGAGTCGCCCGTTCTCCTCACTGAACCGGGCAAGCAGGTTCTGAGGTGTATTCACATAACGGGCGGGGGCGGGACGGGATTTCAGTGATGACGAGATTGGGGTGGGCAGTTCGGGGAGGGGGAAGGGGTGAAATAATAAAAGAAAACAATCAACGGCGACCCCGTTACTGGGGTGATGTTCATATTATGCGTAGGCACCTAGCTAGGTAATGGTACGTCATGTGTACGGATGCGTAATACTGGAAATGTTCAATGTTCAAACAAAGTTCATGACTTCTTCGGGTGGAGTCCTTAAAAAAGGACCTTCCGCGATATCTGGCGGTGTTTGGAATTTCCCAAGAGAATTTTTCCAGTTTGTCTCTACTCTGGAAGCGAAGGGTCAAAGGGACAGGACTTCTAGAGAAGTGACATGGACAAAAGTACAGACGGAAAAGGTGGCATCTGTACGGCTGTGTGAAGCTATACGGAAATGTTGTAGTAAATGCGGTATATATACCTGCGTCTCCATGAGTCGCCTCATCAAGTCGTCATCCGCTACGAAACCAGTGTTACTCGTCCGCCGCCCTAGGGCACTACTACTACCGCCGCCGCCGGCGTCAGCGGTGCCGGCGGACATGCGCAGCGGTTCCAGGTGCGTGACAGCGCCGCCGCCAGGTACGGAATGCCGTATACCATCCGCGGAAGCGCCGCCGACGCGCGGCGTCGCAAGGCGCGACCCCGTCAGCGCCGCCGCCGAGCCGATAGGGTACGGCAACGGCGGTGAGGCCGTAGCATCGCGCGCACTGTCCCGGCTGCTATCCCTGCTGCTGCCGCCGCCGCCGCCACCATCGGCGCCAGCGAGCGCCAGCCATGCGGGATGCCCGGGGGGATATGTTGCTTCGCTGCCGCCGCCGCCGCCGCCACCCGCAGAGTACAGCGGCCATGCCGGTCGCGAGCCGTGCAATGACCCCGCCATGGCGTCAGCCCCTCCAGCATGACTTCCGATAACCCGTGCCTGCTCTCGGAGGTACGTGTTCTCCTGCCGGAGCAATTCAATCTCCCGTCGCAAGTTTGCGATTTGGGCCTCCTGGAGCAGTACGGAATGGCGTAGGAAGGTACGGCGCCCATGAGTATTGAGTTTACGGCCTGTCTGTGTATGACTTCGCAAAGACTCGGTGGGACATCGAGCAAGGTGGCTCTAAGGTAACCAACTACCGTACAACAAATCGTGCCCCATTACTATAAAATAAAATAAAATAAAATATAACATATACAAATATACAACAATATATTATATAATATATAATTACAATATAATATTATACATATTACATAATTATATGTATAAGACAGACACAGGAAAAAAAGGTACCATCCCGTGCAGTCTCCGCGCAGCTCTTTTCCAAACGCATAAACACATGCACCATATGGCCATGTACACCTGCTCATATGTGTAACGGGAGCCTAGGTGCAACGAACCGCTTACTTTGGGGTCGTACTGAACCGTGGGTCTGTTCTGAATGTTCTTGGCACGTGTGGCGTACGACAACGTTGACAGCGTTTCCTCCACCGCCGTGGATGCTGGGCTGCAGCATGCAATCATGAGCGCCAGGGCGTTACCTCCCAACGAGTCCATTAGCAGCTTGGTCAACTTGGAGTCCCTGTTATGTTTTGTATTTTGGCGGGAAGGCAAAGAAGAAAGGAGATAAAAATTGTAAGAAGGAATATAAAGAAATTCATCAGGGAAATCCCTTTTTGGGCACAGGGAAGATATGGATTGATGATCATTAATTGGCGACAACTAAAGGTAAATTTTATGTTTTGAATTATAAAAATGGTCATCATGGAATTTGTAAGATCAGTACTAGTTAAGCAATCCATATGACGGTTAGATCATAAAAGTCGGCTTTGTTTGTTCTCAGATTGAAAACACAACTCCGATCTCCGATCCACTATACCGCCTCCTTGCCCCGAATGAGTATCGATTCCCGCATCCTAATACTACTCTTAGCTCATACCTGTACGGTATATGTGCGCTGGTTCCGCTGCTGTCCCTTTCCGCCAGCGCGGCAATGACCTTGCCCAGCACAAACAGGCTCTTATTGATGTTGGCGGTCTCCTTGAGCATCACTCCTTCGGATTTGGTGTCCTGTGAAATTACACGGCCATATGAGCAGGAGGAGGAGGGAAATGGGGGAAAAAAGGAGGGGGAGAAGTGGGCGGAGGTGGCAACAGACCCAGTGCACGGACACGCAAAACACACGATGAAGACGGGCGATTGGATACACGCACCCCGGCTTCCTAGGAACCCAACAACCCTCCTCCAACTTCACCTTCACCCCCAAACCCTGCCCTGACCTGCCCGCCTGCCAGGCCCACCTGCAGCCGCAGAACTCACCGGGATGGCGCCTCACGGAGCGCAGCGACAGCCCGCATGAGCAGCAGCAAACACTCCGAGCCGTTCGCAACCCGTCAAACTCACATGTCACGGCCTCCCCTCTTTACAACCAGAGCGCAGCACACCACGGCAAGCGCAGCACACCACGGCTCAGCGCACCACGCCAAAGCGCAGCACAGCAAACCTACCTTGAGCCGTTCACTTCCCGCCAAATCCACAAAAGAGATCTTGCCGATACGTGGCGCGCCAAAATCCGCAGCGTTTGGATCCAGGGGTGTGGCGTGTACAAAGATGGTGATGATAGAATGCGAGCGACTTGACTCGATATTGAGCTCATGTGAACCCACGTGACGGTGTTTCATGCCTGTACGGATGACCTGTACGGAAAAATAGGTACGCAATTACAGGACTTGTAAATCTGTATGCATCTCTATTGCCATCTCTCATCACTGCTTGTAGCCACTTGCAAGATCAATTGATCTCGACATGATGGGGGCCCTTTGGTGCATCTGTTTTTAATAACGGTTTTGAGGAGTTTTCAGTCCGTTAAACTTCCAAAACGGAAATACTGTAACCACAATACAATACAAAAAAAAAAAAAAAAACTGGTGCGGCACCATCCAAGAACCGTCGGCGAAACGGTTTTGAGCAGAAAAGGCGGGAACCTTTTTGTTTGTACGCAGTGCGAAGCACTGCGACTTATGTAGTGAACGTTTAAAGGTACAAATTATACTTATAAATATAACAAATAATTATATATTTGTTAAATATATTAAATAATTAAATAACACAAATACATAAAGCAGAAGGGCAGGCTTTGTAAATGCAAGCCTAAAAATAAGAACATAACAGTAAAGTCTTTAGGGCGTGCAGTTACAAAAGGGGCTTTCATTGGCCCCGGAAGTGGGCCTTCTGAAGTGTTGGGTGTGGGTGGGCGGCTGTGTCCTGCTATGATGCTGTGCTATCTTCTCCCCCCTCTCCCCCCCACCTCAACCTCCCCACCCCCCCCAGCCCTGGACTACCCGTATACCTTTGATATCTGCCCCATTCGCCAGTGGTTCGTCTTATACCCCACCCCACCCCACCTCAAACCTCCACCCCACCTCAAACCTCCACCCCACCTCAAACTTCCACCCCACCCCACCCCACCCCACCCCACCCAGCTCACGTCCATCATGGTGTCCACTTTGTTGCAGGTGACCTGCTTGAGACCAGGCACAAAGAAGCCCAAGGAGGCGTCCCATTTGACTGGCAGGTTCTTGGCCTGCGTGCGACACAGCGCACCACACAACCTTAGGACTTGGCGGGGTGGCGGGGGGAAAGACGAACCACACACGATTGAAGCTGCTGCCAGAGCAAGAGAGTAACAAACGTAGAACTGACCGAAAGGCGTCCGTGGCGACCGCAACCGTGGCGGGGGGGAGATGAGGTGGCGACTGACAGCGTTACTAGGGGATTGAGTTGGGGGTGCATTGTGTGTTGTCGGGGCCGGGAGTCTTGTGGGACCCCCTTCCGGAAGTCAAAGTAGTGGTAGCTAGGAAACGTGCATGACAAAGTTGCTCTCTCGCGTTACTTTGTGAGGTGGTGGTGGTGGTGGTGGTGGTGGTGGTTGTACGGAAAAACCTTCCTCCACCTCCTCCTCCAGCTCTTCCTCCTCCCTCCCTCCCCTTCCTCCTCCCTCCCTCCCCTTCCTCCTCCCTCCCTCCCCTTCCTCCTCCCTCGCTCCCCTTCCTCCTCCCTCCCTCCCTTTCCTCCTCCCTCGCTCCCCTTCCTCCTCCCTCCCTCCCCTTCCTCCTCCCTCCCTCCCCTTCCTCCTCCCTCCTCCCTCCCTCCCTTTCCTCCTCCCTCCCTCCCTTCCTCCTCCCTCCCTCCCCTTCCTCCTCCCTCCCTCCCCTTCCTCCTCCCTCCCTCCCCTTCCTCCTCCCTCGCTCCCCTTCCTCCTCCCTCCCTCCCTTTCCTCCTCCCTCGCTCCCCTTCCTCCTCCCTCCCTCCCCTTCCTCCTCCCTCCTCGAAACACAGCACACCTTGAGGTTAAGCAGATCGAATATGCCCTCATTGTAAATCTCCAAGTACGACGCCGTGATGGTGAACCTGTTCTCCGCCTTGCGAGCCTCCGCAGCGGCAAACAGGTGCTGGATGGCGCGTGTCACGATACCGTCGTGAGCATCACCCCCAGAGTAAGAGTCGCTGCCCACCACCTCCTCCCGACCGGACATGGTGTAGGTCTTGCCAGAGCCTGAGGCATGCCCGTGCACCCGCATGCACGTGGGTATGTTGTTGTATGTGTATGTATGTATGCATGTATGTGTGCATGTATGTATGTGCATGTGTGCAGGGACAAAAACACAAAACCGAAGTAGTGGAACCGAATTCAACGGAGTCTAAAACGGAGGCCCAAACTGGAAACGGCACGGCTCCGAAACCGCCCCACGCGGTACTCCAGGGCTGGATAGGGTTGTGTGACGTGTTGAATGGCACATTCCCCTTCCTCTTGGACTTCCCCTTGGACTACATAGACACGCATACATACAGACATACAGACACACAGACACACAGCACAAGTCTAGCACGTCACTGGACGAAGGAGCTCGTTTCGGCATGATGACGTTATTCTCATGTACCAGCCACCATCGCCATTTCCCTTAGCACCCTGCCGCTTAGCGGCTCATCTAGAAGGAATGCAGTTACACACGCACGCACACATACATACATACATACATTCGGCTTCGGCCCCCGGCTCTCGCGGCCCACAGTGTAATCTAAGTCATACATACGTACATACACACGCGCGCGTGCAGCCCACACAGTTTGGGACCATCCCTCCACTGTTTTATAAGCAGTTTCATGGTACCTATGAATCCTCCTTGGGCTACATGGACACGCCCACACACGGACACACGCACCCGTCTGGCCGTACGCGAACATGGTCACGTTGTACCCCGCCAGTGCCGCGTCAAGCAGCTGCGGCACCCCACACAGGTGCAGTACATCCGCCTGGCTGACATCCGGCCCCAGGCAGGCGTGGAAGGCAAAGTCACGCTGCATGGAGGTGCCCGCCGGCCCCGGCACCACCACCTGCGTTTTCCGGCGTACGAACGTGCGGGATGATACCGATCAGTCGTACATCCGTATCGTACGTACGACGATAACTAACGACGAGCACAATCCCCCGTGGGTTGAAGGGATAATAACAACTACTTGTGCGCCGACCTGCGCTGTGAGGCCCGTTTTGGACATTTCCCCCCCTTAGAGACATTTTCCGATCCGCCCAGTACAGTGAGTGGCCCCTATTGGGGAGAGGTTATTCAAGTTACAAGTTACAAGTTCCGCACACAAGTGCGGGTGTGTCCGTAAAAGCCGGGGGGGCCATGGTTATATTGGCTCGTATTATTGGTCAATGGTGATGAATGAAGGGATCGGTAATGACCCATGGGTCGGTCATGCCCCTAGATTACAGCCTGATTACAGTCCATTCCGTCCGGAACCACACACCTGTCACAACCCTAAACCAGTCTTTTAGTGGGTACTACCGAGCCGGCTGAAGGCATGTGCGTGTGCGTGTGCGTGTCGTTAGGTACCAATCAGTATTCTTTTCCTGATGTTTGTTTGATGCAGCGGCAGGCGATTTTCGTTCCCTCAAAAACAACCCACATCAAAAACACGTATGTACCTGTCGCGGTAAGGAACCAGATCCCTCTGATGCACTCACCCCTAAGCGGCCGTTCGTGTTTCCCCACCAACCCCCACCAACCACCCCTTCAAAACCGCCTACTGGTCAGTTCTTCAGCTTCTTGTACATTCTTTCCTTGGCAGCAGCTTCACTCGTTCACGTGGTTCGTCTTTCCCCCCACCGGCCCCGCGCCGTGGACTAAATCCAGTGTGGGCCTGTGGGCCCCCCCCCACACACACTTACAAGACTCAACCCCGCCCCAGCTGGAACCCCCCAGTCAACCCCCCGGGGTTCCAACTCGCCTTGATGGTTGTGTTGCTGCTGACCTGTACCACTGCCGTACCCCCCCGCTCCGTTTCATGTGGGAACAGCGGCCGCACGCGCACAGCCACCTTGATGTTATCTGCCTCCGACAGCTGGGCGGCGGCGCAGTTTGCAGTTTGTAGTTCAGGGGGGCATTTACAAGAGGATTCGGGAAACAGGAAACATGGTAAGGAGGAGGGGAGCGAGCAAGACAGGAATGCATAGTAAAAACATATGCAGGCTTTATTGCTGCTGGTAGTGGTGATGGTGATGGTGATGGTGTTATTCCCGCAGGAACGAAAAAAACAAAAGGAGATAGGGAGAGGGATTTTGAAACGTATGTACGGCAGGTAGAGGAACAAAAAGTGGTAGAGGAACGAAAAGCGCACGCCAGTGCGCTTGGCATGAATAAGAGGGTGTGAGGGACATCCGGCTATAAGCAGAAATCTTGGACTGGTCATGTTTCTGATTTCTAGCCTAGGATGTCCCGAAAACGCCATATACATATATAAGTGCAGCATGGAAAGCTGCTGCTGCTTGTTCCCTCGGTTCTTACATTGGTTGCCTGTACGGGCGGCCCTCCTCCAATGGTTGCTGACGTGGCCGTTCCCATTCTGCCCGTGGAAGCGAGGGGTGAGGGACGTGCGCTGGATGACGCGGGCCGCGGCCGGTTCAGGGGGTTCGAGATTAGTCCGGTGCTCATGGGGGAGCCATCGGCTGGAAGAGGACGCAGCCCGTCGAGGGGGGTGAGCGAGCTGCCGCGGGAGATCGGCGTGGGCGTGAATCCCGCGACAAGGCCGCTCACAGGCGGCGCGAACATAGTCTGTGGGGAGGTGCATAGGAGTATTCAAAGCGACGAAGGGTGCCGATGCGGCGACCAGGACATGCGATGGCATAGCACAGCCGCAAAGAGTTCTAAGGATTCTTTGTGGCGATATTAAGAGAAAGTGAGATTTATGGTGATGATTATGGTGTCCGGCAGGCTTAAAGGCACGGATGGTCACGAGCGGTCACGACGCCTTATAGTACTACGGGCAAGATGATCGGGATGAAGATGATACTCCGCATAATGCATGCTTACCTATGCCAGATTATGAGCGTGCACCCAGCCTCCAGCCTCAACCGCGTTCGTAAAGTTTAGGTAGCTGCGTGCCATGTCATCTAGATGCTTGTGTAAAAACCCAAAGCTCCCATTAAATATTGAAACAATAACAACACTGTTAGCATCACACTAAAAATATCATAGCTTCAATCCATTTGCAGAAAGTCAACCCAAAATAAAGAAAGCACTATCAAACGTGCGATATGCTTACAAAACGAAAAGCTTAGGGTGTATTTTGCAACAAGGGGCAAACGGAGGATGTGAGGAGTATAACGCGTACGACAGGAGGAGTTGGAAAACCCTGCGCAATGCAGCCTTCAAACTGCCTACAAGAATTGAAATTAATCCTATAAAAATGAAGCAATATAGGCAAATAGTTCTCAACGCGGTAACGGAATCGAAGCCTGTCGCGTGATGAGATGCGCGTTTGAAAGGGAACGAGCTCCGATCCAAATTGGGACACCAAATTGTTACACACCGAGTTGAGCGACGTAAGCCGACTAACACACAACGACAGCGCACAAAGTTGGATGTGATTATGAAGTCAGGCTTAAATAGTAAACAATGTACAGGATGAGGTCTATCTCCGTACAACTGATAACGTACAAATGCTCATCAGCATAAGGCGCTTGCTACCGAACGCAAGACTTTTACATACCCCCCTGCTTAACAAGCATCGGCCTAGATGCGAACAACACCACAAAGATGTCCTAGCCGTGCGTCTCTCCGATTCCCTGAACAAAATCGGTACCAGGCTAATGAGGGGAAGGGAACCGGAGTCAAGGCAAAACCTTCCCCGCATTGTATACCGGCCTGAATGGGACGCACACATCCTACAGCTTCCGGTACAGGAACCTGAATACATACAAACACGTTGAAGATACAAGACACCAAGTACTCTTACTGAAACCCTAAGATACACGAAGTACACGAAACACGCTTCAACTAACCGAAATGAAACAAGAGTCAAGACACTACTCGCTCACAACGTAGAACCCAAAGAACGTGCTAACGAAGGAACTCAACAACATGCTTGAATCCAGTGAAACACACACGTAGACACACACACACACACATTCACACACACACACACACACACACACACACACGACACACACACACGCACTGCGCTAGCTTGACACAAACTGCACTATCCGCGGGTCGTGCTCTGGTAACTTGGCACTGAACCAGGCACGCAGCGGTCTGACAGCGGTGATGAACGCAGTCCAGTTTGGGATTCTCAGGAAGGCACGAAGCGGTGGCAGGCTGCGAACGCCACCGTACGGTTCCATGACGGGTCACTTGAATGAGGTCCAAGGCTGGGGTCGCCAGGTAAGCATGAAGCGCTGGCAGGCTGCAGACATTGTCGTACGGCACCCAGGACGACTGGCCACGGACCACTGTACTAAGAACACGACAGAAGTTTTAGCATGCTTGCCATAGCCATGGCGAACGGCAGTAACGGTAGTGTCGGTGCTGTCGTATGGGGACTCCGGCATGATGGGAGCAGCAGTGGTGGCGGTGGCCCGTTGGGAAAGAGGGCTTTAGGGTTTTCCGGTTGTTCAGAATGTATTCGTTGGGTTCAGCAACTCACCACCAGCGTCCAACCAAATCTAGCGGAACAACGGCGCCACAACTTAGTTCCTGGTCAGCTCGCAAGTTGATATAATCACGTCAAGATGGGGGTCCACCTCCCAATTCAACTCCCCTCACAGACCGAGGAGTCGGCAGGCGGATTTGAACCCGAAATCTCCGGGAGCAGAAGCCAGGCCTTAACTTCTGCCAGCCACCTGCCTAGTGGCATGAATATCACGAAGTTGGGTATGGAGATCAGCCGCGATGGGGTGGGCGGGTGTGGGTAGCGGGGTGTTAAGAATGGCAGGGGTGGTGGTATGGAAACCGTAATTTGCGTAAAAGGGAGTGGTACCGGTGCTGGCGGGCGGTTTGCTGTTTTAGGCGGCTTCGGCAAGGTAGGTAGGGAAGGTAGGCAGCCCGGTTATCCTGCATGGGCTGAACGCATGCCCGTAGGATTTGCTCAATGGAGTGATGGGTACATTTGGTTTGGCCATCGGTTTGAGGGTGGTAGGCGGAGGAGAGATTGAGGGCGGTGCCGAGGTGTTCCCAGAAGATGCGCCAGAGATGTCGGCAGTGAAGCGGGGGTCGCGGTCAAAGACGACGATGGTGGGGAGGCCATGAAGACGGTAGACGTTGGCGAGGGCAAGGAGGGCGATGTCACGGGCGGTGGCTGATTTGTTGGTGGGAACGAAGTGGGCTTGTTTAGTGAACATATCGATGAAGGTGACAATGGCGGTGTAGGTGCGACCATCAAGGCCTTTGGAGGGCGGTAGGTCGGTGATGAGGTCCAGAGACACGTGTGTCCATGGTCGTGAAGGTGTAGGCATGTAGGAATGGAGGAGGCCAGGCGGAGGCTGGGCGAATGGCTTGGTGCGCTGGCAGGTGGGGCAGGATTGTACGAAGGTAGAGATTGTACGATTCATATGGGGCCACCAGTAGCAGGTGGAGATAGCGGCGAGGGTGCGATGATTTTAACCAGGGTGACCGGAGTAGGCAGCACCATGGACCTCGTGTAGGAGGCGACGGTAAAGGGCTAGGTCGGCGGGGGACGGCAATGCGGTTGGCGAAGTAGAAGAAGAGACCGTCCGGGGGCATTGGCGGTATGGTTTGATGGCGGCGGGTCGGTGGTGTAACCCGAACGGATGGCGGAGGTGAGACTGGGATCCGGAAGGACGTGGGAGGCGAGGGCAAAGCAGGCGTGGCGGAGTGTGTTGTTAGCGGGGATGTAGACCGGAAGAAGCACACTGCAGGGTGTCGTGGTCGGTGCACATTGTGAAATGGCAGCCTTCAACATAGCACCGAAACTTATGCACTGTGTGTGCGACAGCAAGCAGCTCGAGCTCGTGGATTGGATAGTTGGCTTCAAGACGGTTGAGCTTGCGGGATTTGAAGCCC